AAAAAAAAACTCAAAAGAAAGAAAGAAAAGAAATTTAGAAAACAAAAAATGCTCAGCCTCAAAACACTCATTCATGGTTCCCAAGCCTCTTTCCTGCTTGTCTGTCTCATTTTCTCAAGATGTCCCAGGCTAGAGAGGGATGGGGCTGAGGAGGCAGGGGAAGGATTCAGCAGGGGTTGAGAACTGGGGATGGAGCTGACCTCATTTCCCTGTGCTCGTTCTTTTCAAGAACCATCTTGTCCTGGATGACACGAGGCGTGGAGGGCAGGAGAGCGGCTGTGTTCAGGGACTCATTAAACTGGATTTAGATGATTCATTTCTGATATTCATTCGGCAAGCACTCGGGAGATGCCTCCTCTCACCCGGATCCTGTCTGAAACCTGAGATCTGTGCCCACAGAGTCGATGCCTTCCAACAAGGCCGGGTCACTTCCAAGAGAAGGGCCATGGGAACCATCAAGGTTCCCATGAAGGTGGGAGTTCTGTTTTTAGGCCTCTACAGCCACATCTCCTGAAATGAAGAAGTCAGGAGTGATGAGGGAGATTCTGACTTAGAAGGGCGTGGGGACAGGGTGACTTGGGTTCTTTCCAAATGAGTGTTCTTAACTTCCAGAGCTAGGGGTGCTGGGGGGAGGATGGAATACCTGGAGGGAGGTGACCAAAGTCACCTCAGTCAGCTAAGTGCTTGACAGCACTACATAAACCAGGTGTGGTGGCACACACCTGCAATCCCAAGGACTCAGGTGTAGAGGCGGGAGACTCAGGTGCTCAAGGCCATCCTTGGCTACCTGGGACCCTTTCTCAAAAAAAAAAAAAAGAAAGGAAGGAAGGAAGAAAGGAAGGAAGGAAGAAAGGAAGAAAGAAAGAAAGAAAGAAAGAAAGAAAGAAAGAAAGAAAGAAAAGAGGTCACTATCATGTTGCCAGCCACAAGAAACCAAAGAGCCAACCTGACCCTGCCGCAGACATTGGGAAGTGGGTGTGGTCTCTACCAACAGGACAAACCTAGTGGTTTTGGTCTCTGCTGTTGTTCAAGCCTGCAGGTGCTTCCTCTCCTCTCTCTTTCATGGCAGCTGGTGACACCCCATCCCTCCAGCATGTCTCTTTTATAAGAGGGGCAACGTTCCCAAGAAAGCCCTCAGCAGACTGCCTCCCGCCCCTACCCCAGCATTGCCCAACATATCCAGGCCCTGATGCCAAAAAGCCCTGGAATGGGGCCACCTCCCTTCTTCAGCATGCTGGGTGAGAAGGGGGAAGGGAGGTGAGGATGTAGGCAGTCCATGGTGGGGGAGGTAGCCTGTTCCAAGCCCAGCTGCTCCCTGAATACCAGCTTCTCCTTTAGTCTCTAATTCCATGGCTCAGGACTTTAAGACCCAGATGCAGTTAGGGTCTTTCCAACGCTGCTCAGAATCTCTGGGGAGGTTTGACCGTTTTTATTGTTGCTTGGCAAGCACCACACACCATCGTTCTTAAGGCCCCTCTTTTCCTTGTCTCCCACTACCTTTACCATCTTCCCAGGGCGCCGCTCCCACCCGGTCCCATATGGAGCAGGACTCCTGGCTGTGGAAGTGGGACCTAGTTCTTTTTCTTGAACAGCCACCCCCCAATGTGGCTCCAGTGAAAGTCTAGCATGGGTTTCGTTACTGACTAGGGTCCCGGCTGACAGAGCCTCAACTGTTTCTTTGGTTTATGTGTGTTTTCTTGACATGTGCACTGTGTATGTGTGTGTGGTACCCATAGAGGCCAGAAGAGGGCACCAGATCCCCTGAAACTGGAATTAAAAACAGCTGTGAGCCACCATGGGGGTGTGCGGAATGGAACCCAGCTCTTCTTGGCAAGAGCAACCAGTGTTCTTGACCACAGAACCAGCTCTCTGGCTGCAGCAGAATTCACTGTAACAATGAGGAGACACCTGGAAGCAATGGACAAGAGGAACTAGGCACGGGGCTGCACGTGGGTCCTTTGGACGTCTCTCTTACATAACCAGCTGTGTGTGGTCAGGGTGAGACCAGGGCAGGTCCTTCTAGCTTGTTCTCCTCCATCCTTCCACTTAGCTCTTGTCTGCACAGTTCAAACTCGTGCCCAGTATTTTACATTCTCAGCAAAAGAACGGAGAGAAGGTAAAGAGAAGACCCTGAGTCAGGCGCTGGTAGCACACACCTTTAATCCCAGCACTTGGGAGGCAAAACTCACGGATCTCTGTGAGTTTGAGGCCAGCCTAGTCTACAGCGTGAATTCCAGGACAGTTAGGTCAGGTCAGGGCTGCACAGTGAGACCCTGTATCAAAAACAAACAAACAAAAGATCACGTGTTCCCCACACCACCCCCATCCACCTTTAGGGTCAGTTTTGAAAAGTGGGTCACACATGAAATCCATTCATAGCCTTTGTACCAAAGTAGCATATTTAACTTCAAAGGATGCTGAGAATTTAGTCCTAGTTGGATGGGCTAATGTCTAGTTTTAAACCCATTTGTATGAAAAAAGAGAATTGATATTAGATCCAATTAGGATCTGACCCACCGGCTCAGTGCTATCAACACAATTGTCAGGAGCTGTCAGGATAACAGATGGGACACACAAAGTAGAAAAGGAGCCCCGCAATACCCCTTCTAGGTGTTAAGTGTTTCCTGCCGCCCTCCTGCTAGACTCACATTCCCAAGGTCAGCAGCTGCTCCCTAGCAGCCAGCCTCTGTCCCCTGAAGAGGCTGCTCTGAGCAAACACCCCCCACTCCACTCCCACCCCCCACTTCCTCTCGCCCCTGACCCTGCCCACTAAGAGTCTGGCTTTCTGATCTACCCCAGGCCAGGAGCAGCAGGGACAGCCAAAGCCCTTGACTCAAAGCTCCACCCTTCGGCGCTTCCCCGCAGTCAGGGAGAGGCCATCTGGATAGCTGAAAATACATTTCCCAAGTTCGGGTCCCTCCACATCCCAAATGGGAGTCTTCTCTGTGGCCTCTCCCCATTGCTAAGGAACCCACGTTCTAGTCAGTGGGAATCTCAGACAGAGGCCATTTCCACCTCCAAATGCAGAATGTGAATCTGGGCATGGTGACACCCACCTGTGATCCCAGCAACTAAGAGACTAAAACAGAAAGGATCTACAAGAGTTCAAGGTCAGCCTGAGCTAAGGGGGAGACCCTGTCTCTCTGAGCAGATAAATCAGCGTGAGAGCTGAGTTTGATCCCCAGAACTTGGGGGATAAGAGAAGAGATCCAGGCTGAGTAACCCCAATGCAGAGTCAGGCCAATTCCTGGGCCTTGCTGACCAGCCAGCCCTGACACCTTGGTGAGTTCCAGGTCAGTGAGGAGCCCTGACTCAAAAGCAAGATTGACAGCATCTGAGGAAGGACACCCAAAGCTTCCTCTGGTTTACACACATGTGTGCGCGCACGCGCGAACACACACACACACACACACACACACACACACACACACACACACACACGAACAAAGGCCCAGCCAAGCCAAAGGTCTGCTCTGCTTATGTACGCAATCCCCTCACCGCTATGCAACCAAAGACAAAACACAGGCTTCAATTTCCTCCCACCAGGTCATTGCAGAGAGCCCAAGAGTTGCTCATTTAGCACCAGAGCAAGCGGGAGGTTCATACCCAGTGCATATAGACGTTCGTTTAACAACCCCTATTACTGGCTCAGTGGGCAAAGGCACTTGCTGCCAAGCTTAATGACCCAAGTTCAATTCCCAGGACCCACCCACGTGGCAGAAGGAGAGAAGTGACTCCTGCAGTTGCCCTGTTTTAGGACAGGCCGCCGTTGGTCTCTTCTAGAACAAAGCAAGACTATATATCATCTTCAAAGAGACTGCTCTGACTCTTTTCTAGTTTGGATTTAAATAAAATGTGCCCTAGAGCCTCGTGTGTTGGGACACTTGGTGCCCAGCTGGTGGCATTATTTAGGTGTTGTGGGGCCTTTGGGAGGTCTGGCTGGTGAACATCATGTCTCTTGGGGTGAGCACTGTGGGTTATAGCCTGACCCTGTTTCGGGTCCTGCCAGGATGTGAGAAGCTGCATCCCCAAACTCCCACTGCCCAGGATTAAACGGCTCCAGGATGCCTCTCCCACTGTTTGGGCAGTATTGTTTTCTCCCTTGGAGTCACAGGCACCAAAATAAATAATTAATATAAAATAAAATATAAAGAAGAATTGAAAACAAGTAAACAAACAACAAGAAAACTCCCCTGGTCCCTTCAATTGCTGCTGCCTGGTCACTAAGACCACGCCTTCCAGGAGCCGGATCCTTTACATCACCCCTCGAAGACCACCTATTTAAAGAGGGCTGGGGATGTAGCTCAGTGGTACAGCTCTTGTCTGATACGCACAAGGCCCTGGGTTCAATTCTCCAACACTGAAAAGACAAATAAGAAGTAAAATGTGATTTACAATTTCAAGATTAATGAAAGTACAACCAACCAAGGCTGGGCTGGGGGCGGGGCCGAGCGGTTGTATAAGTCGGGCTGCTGTCCACTAAGCCAACCCTACTTGCTCGCGGCGGCAGAATGAAGCCCCAGAGGTGTAAGTTACAACATGCATTAGGAAGCTTCTAGAGCTAGCTGGTAACCTGCACTGTTGACATCACAAGAACCGAATGTACGAAGACCTTGCTGCTCACTTGAGAGAGCAGAGCACTTGATGCTCCGGTTCATTTAACTAATGCCTCCCCGCCTTACGTAAGACAGAAAATTAAAGGTCAGAGAGATGAGGAACTAGTTTGCCCAAGGCCTCCAGGTTCCAGGATCCATACTCAGAACAGCAGTGCAACAACTGCCCCATCCCATCAGAGAGGATGGAGAAGTGCCCTGGCCTCTAGCGACCCTCCCAGACTCCACCTTTGCTGAAAGCAGGAGGCCAAACCTCATTTCCATCTCTGGGTTCCACTTCCCTCCTCCAACCACGCCCCCATGCCTCTCTGCAGCCTTTCTCAGCACACACGTGATTCCCCCCCCCCCCCCCCCCAACCGTTCCCCTAAATGCCTCCTCCTCCGTCTTTTCTTACGAGACGGCCAGCTTGGGATTATATTTGTGTGTTTATTTATAATGGCTTGGACTCAAGTCTGAAATGTTTTCCGGGGGCGGAGAGGTGGGAGAGTCTCTTTAAGGCTTTGAAGAGTCCAGTGAGGATGTGAGTGGGGCGGAGCTTCGGGTGGGGCCGCCTCTCTTCCTGAAATGGTGCCGAACTCAAATGAACAGAACTTCAGCACCCGACGTTCAGCACCTCGGTAACTGTGGGTAAGCTGTCTAGCCTCTGTGCTGCAGTTCAAATAAGATTCAAATAGTATAGACTTTCACAGTGTTTTTTGTTTTGTTTTGTTTTTTTGAGACAGGGTCTCATGTAGCTCAGACTGGACTTGAACCCTCTATATGGCCAAGGATGACCTTGTGCCTCTGGACCTTCTGCCTCCACCCACTAGTGCTAGTATTACAGGCGTGTGCCACCACGCCCTAGTCTTTCAAGTAGTAGATGTCACCATGATTGGCATTCTCAGGGCCACTTGTGCTATTTTTAGAGCTCATGGGAATTTCTGGGGAGATTGTACAACATCCTGGAGGAGGGCACGGACTCTGAGGTTAGAGGTCTGCACTCAAAGCCTGCTTTAGCCTTACTGGCTGCATGGCCTTGGTTAAGTCATTGAACCCTGTGAGCCTGGGTCCTTTCATCTGCCAAATTCTCCTCTGGACAGAGATTGGCTTAAGGATGACACATGTCCCTCCCTCCATGCAACTTAGGAGATGACATGCCAGGATGTGTGCTGTGAGAGAGGGCTGCTGGGCCATCCCAGGCCATCTCAGGAGAGCTGACCCAGGACCAAAGCCAGCACAGGGCAAGCAGAGAATCAGAATGACATTGTCTGAGCCCCTAGTTCACACTGTGCCTGAAGCAAGAGGCTTTTAAGACTTCCCATTTTCGTGAGCCAAAAACTTCCCATTTTGCAAAAGCTACTTTCAGTTGGGTTTTCTCATAGGAAATTGTCTAGGCCAACACTAAGAGGTTAAGAAACTTGGTCCAGGCACATGGGCTATGAGAGGCAGACGCTGGGCTCGGAAACTCTGACGTGACAGCCACATGCTCTCTGATCCAGACCAACTGTTGGCGCTGGGATGTGCATTGATTGTTCCTCTTTACTCTCTCTGAGCAGCAACTGTCTACACCTGAGGAAATCAAACAGGGGACTTTGGAGCTTAGCTGAGGCCCAGAGCGGAGCCTGTGCCTTCCACTGCCAGCATTCTGAATTTCCCAACTGGTACTTCATCTCAGGGCCTGGGATGGAGCAGCCCAGGTGCTCAACTCTGCTAGGAAATCCAGTCTTAAGGCTCAAAGAGGCGGGACCACGCCCTTCCTGCCTGTGGGATCCCAGCACTCAGTAGTTGTGCTGGACCTTCGAAGGGACTCAGTCTGTCAGAGGCAAAGAAGCCCTTGTCATCCTGATATCTAGAACCTTCCAAGGACGGGTGGGGGTTTGGGAAGAATGACTTGCAGACTTCCAGCTCAAGGAAGATGGTGTTGGGCAACACAACTCAGCTCCACGTAGTCACCAAGTTTACGGTTAGTGGCCAAGGGATGATGATAAAACCACATCAAGTCATAGCACGTAGTGGAGGGTGCGAGTGGGGGCTGTCAGGGGAGGAGTAGGGACCTCCCAGATGAAGCGACATTAAAATCTTAGCTTCACTGTTACTTTGGATCCTATGCTCTAAGCTACTGATAGGGCAATGCCACTACTGTCCAGGCCACTTGCTGGCCTCACTCAGTCAGGGGTCAGCAATAGCCCCATGCTTCAAAAACAGCTCTCCTTCCCTGTCCACACGTCCTGGGATGATTAAAGAGTTGACTGGTCACTGACTTGAAGTGTTGATTTCTTCCCTTAGAAAAGAAAGAGAAAGTCGTGAACCTGAGTGAGAACATTGGAGCATTTTACAGGCCGGCCTGACTAGAAAGGGCTTTAGCCATGGTGACACAGGCTGCCACCATTAGGTTGGCAGCGCTGGCTTTGTCCACAGGGCTTCAGGGAAAGCTGACACTTAGGGACATTGAAGTCTCTCTTTCCAGCAAACATCAGGTGCCTGGGACGTGGGAAAGGAGAGGTTCCGTCCTACTGGAATAGGACTGCCCAGAGACGAGCAGGCAAAAGTGCAGCAGAGGATGACGGGGGCATTAACTGCAGGCGGGAGACCTGCTTGGGAAGTGACACTCAGCTTGAGATCTGAAGGGAAAGAAGATACACAGAGGGTCCTGGTCGGGATTGGACGGCATAAAGGTCCTGCAGTGGAAACCAGCCAGGCATACCTGGGAGGGACCCAGAGTAGAGGGAAGCAGGCACTGGAGAGAGAGGGTGGGGAGGCAGATGGGGCAGGTCACCATGGTCACTTGGCATGAGAGCTAGGGCTAGGGATGATCGCTACTCTTTCTTCGTTTTTAATTTTTATTTGTTTTTTTTTTTTTTGAGACAGGATTTCTCTGTTTAACAGCCCTGGCTGTCCTGGAACTCGCTTTGTAGACCAGGCTGGCCTTGAACTCAGAGATCTGCCCGCCTCTGCCTCCTGAGTGCTGGGATTAAAGGTGTGCGCCACCATCACCAGCTATTCTTTTTTAAAAAATATACACATTTGTTTAAGCGTGTGTGTGTGTGTGTGTGTGTGTGTGTGTGTACGCCTGAAGAAGCACTGGGTCCTCCAGAACTTACAGGCAGTTGAGAGTCATTGTGTGGCGGCCGGGAACTGGATGGGATCCTCTGTTAGAGCAATAAGCGCTCCTAACCACAGGGTCATTTCTCCAGTTCTGAACCAGGCTTTTTTCTAAGCAGAACAAGAAAGTCTCGTGGTGTTTTCATCAGGAAGGCAGGGCCATCTCTGGTGCTGGTATGTGGACAGTGGACATGAGACACCCCAAGGCTCAGCCTCTCCTCCAGAGTTAGGACTTCTGATGGGATTTCATCGTCTGCCACTTCAGTGGGTTAAGTGGGGCCCCTAAAAAGTCACATCACCAGTGTGACCTTATTTGGGAAAATAGTTTTGCATGTAATTGACTTAGGAGTCTTGGGAGGAGATCTGGATCACTGGACCGGCCACATCAATCTGGGACACAATGACAATGATCTTACAGAACATAACAGGGAGGTTTGTCAGTCAGGAGGAGCAAGAGACGATGTGGAAATAAGACAAGAGTATGGGGATACTGCCAAAGAAAGACAGCTTGTTGGAGATAAAAGAAGCAGAGAAGGGGTCTCGGACATCAGAAGGAGTACCGCCATGCCAGTCAACTCTGGGGCCTTGTGAACAGTGAATGACTGGACCTGGTGGCACAGGCTTCTCATCCCAGCTTCGCAGGAGGCTGAGGCAGGAGGATCAAAGTTCAAGGTCTGCTGAAGCACTTTGGTGAAACTGTGTCAAATCAAATGTAAAAAGAGAGGGAAGGTATGTGGCCCAGGATTAGAGCGGCTGCCAGCAGTGTGGGTCCTGGGCACTACCCTGAGCAGTGCAAAAGAGAAAGGGATGGGGGTTCCCGGACACTGGGTGACATCCAGCAGGCCTGAGCAGCACTTGGGTTCCGGATGGGCACGTGATTCGTTCACCTACTGAGCTCTGTATACAGGGGTGAAAGAGTCACCTTTACTCCACCGAGCTACTCGACAAATGTGTGCCATAGGACAGGAGGAGCCCACCTACTCAGAGTCTTAAGAGTCGTTTAAATAGGCAATGGCTTCCATTAGGCAGCCTCCAAGGGTGGGGTCTCAAAGTTTTCACCAGAATAGTCAACTTTAATTTTCTCTTAAAGGGAGCACTCTATTTCTAAGGATATTGCTTTTCAGGCCAGCTGTCTTCATCCAGCAAGGATTAGTGGAATGGCGAGATGCCTCCCTGGGGACAGCTGCTTGCTGGCAAGTCTGACAAACTGAGTTTGATCCCTGGGTCTCACACATGAAGAAGACTATTGCCCTTGGCAAGTTGTCCTTGGACCTCAAACTGCAAGTGTGCCATGAAAAAAAATTGTCTACTTACCCATTTGCTACTATTTGAAATAGTGACTGAATCCCTGATGAACCCAACCACCTTTTATGAGGTAGATGCTCTTTTATCATATATACATATGAAATTTTTAGGGTTTCTCTGGGTAGTCCTGGTTATCCTGAAACTTACTCTGTAGTCTAGGCTGGCCTCAAACTCACAGAGATCCAGCTGCCTCTGCTTCGTGAGTGCTGGGATCAAACATGTGCCCATCCCAAGGTAGGCATATCCCCCTTTCACAATGGAGAAAACCAAGAAGCAGAACTTACCAGGAATCCACCCCAGGCTACATCATGGGACCATAGAACCTGAGTCTGGCCCCGGGAAGCCTAGTTTTTAAACCAGGGATCCTACGAAGGTCAAGTTGGAATTCAGCCTCCTTCCTGTTTGCAAGACTGCTTTGCTCGTGGCTTTTTGAAACAGGGTTTTCACTCTGTACCTGGCACTTACTATGTAGACCAGGCTGGCCTCACATTTTGGGTGATTCTCCTGCCTTAGCTTCTCAGGTGCTGGGATTCCAGGCATGTTCAATTAGCTGCTAGCTCAGCTTGGTAATGTTGTCTTGGGTAAGAGACTTGTCTCTGTGCAGTGCTCTGGTCAGCCCTATGACAGAAATCAAAATGCCTCTATGAGAGGGTAGTTGTGGAGAATGAATGGAAATGGGGGCTTTGTATGCCAGGCACAGTGCCTACCACAGCACCCCAAGAGCAAGCTGGAGTTTACTCTACCACACCAGGAGCTAGTGCTGCGCACAGGGCACTGATCCCATGCAGTCTTCCTTTTTATCATTTGTTGAGCCCAGAGTGCAAGGTAACAACTCCCAACTCCAGCCAAGCATCCCATAGGACGGCAACTCACCATTCTTTTACCTCAAGGAGCCCAGATTCAACATTCGGTATTTACCCTGGGCCGTCTGAACACTCCGGAGAATTTGCACCTAGATGAGTTCCTCAGGGAGATTTTGCTCTTTCTTTTTAATGTTTTTGGATTTATTTATATGAATGTTTTGTTTGCATGTATGTATATTATCACGTGTCCTGTGTCTTGGAGGTCAGAGAGGGCCTGAAACCGGAGGTACAGACAGTTGTGAACCACCATCACCCCAAGGAAGATTTTATTTGTTGTTTTTTTGTTTGTTTGTTTGTTTTATTTGTTTTGAGACAAAGAGTCTCACTGTATAACTCTGGCTGTTCTGGAACTCATCACGTAGAACAGGCTGACCTCAAACTTTGCCTCCACCTCGGGAATGTTGGGTTTAAAGGTAAGCACCACCACATCTAACCAGGATTTTCCTGAGAGGAAACTAGCACAGACCCCCTTCACTCATTCTTACTGGGTAGAAAGTTCATGAAATTCTTTTGTTTCACGAGAGCAAAGTGGACAGCTGGGTGTTGGCACATGCATGGAACCTGGGAGACTAAGGCCAGTGGATCGTGAGCTGGAGGCCAGCCTAGGCTACACACAGTGAATTCCGGGACAGCTCTGGCTACAGAGTGACTCACAGTCTAAAACAAACAAGAAGCTGGGATGTGGCTCAGCGAGCAGAGTGTGTCCTAGCACGCAAAGAGTTCTGATTCCATCCCCCTGCAACATATGCCTGTGATTCCAAGACGTGGGAGGTGGAGGCAAGAGGATCATCCTTGGCCTGACAGTAAGTTAGGAAGCCAAACTGGTATAGTGGGAGGTGGAGGCAGGAGGATCATCTTTGGCCTGACACCAAGTTAGAAGGTCAACCTGGTATAGTGCAACCCTGAGTTAGAAATAAAGAGGGGATCCCGGAGTGGTGGTGAACACTTGTAATTTCGACACTTGGGAGGCAGTGGCAGATGGATCTCCTTGAGTTCGAGGCCAGCCTGTTCTACAGCGCGAGCTTCAAGGCAGCCTGGGCTACGCAGAGAAACCCTGGGGGGTGGGAAAACAGAAAAACCGGACAGGAAATGCCGCTCCCCCCGCCCCCGCACATACACACTACACCCCAACTACCACGCCTTCGCCACACCTTCGGCACGCCTTCGCCGCGTGACTCAAACGGCGTGCGTGAGGCTCGAACTCACGGTCCCGCCAATCCCGCCTCCGCCCGAGCTCCTTGGGCGCGCCGCCAGGTGTCGCCTGGGCAACGGGCGCGCGCCCGCCCGAGCGCGGAACCCGAGAAGCGTCAAGCGGCGCGCGCAGCCGGTCACCTCTTTCTAGCCCAGGCCTCTTTCACTAAGCTCCGCCCCGGCCCCGCCCCCACGGAAGTGCCGGTGAGCCTTCTCGCTATTTGATTGGCCCTTCCATAAAGAGGGCGGAGCTCACGGCGAGGCGGGGTGCGTACTTCCGGCTGCCGGCTTGACATGCAGA